CACTCGGCGGGGTCGCAGCTGCCTCTGGAAGGCACCGAGAGGGACAAAATGGCGCAAATGGTCAAATCAAGGTTTTGTAACGCGAGCTGTGCCACAGTGAAATGGCACTACTCCCTTAATGTGGGTAAACGAAAGTACCGTATTCGGTACTATCAAGAAAGACACCGAAAAAAGTCGCCGCGGCAGTCCACGACGAGCCAGCCTGCTGCCGGCTCGCACGGCAGCCTCTTCCTATGGACCAGCGTCGACTTCCATACAGTCAACATTTTGTCGCTGCGTGCTCGTGGTGAGCTGTGGCGGCGGTCGAAGTTCGCCCAGATTCGGTGACGAGCGCCGGACGATAGTACCGCCTCTGTTCGCCCTGTGCATGTCAGGCCAGGCTGCAGCAGGGCACTACCAACGTGCTGCCCTGTTGCAGCCTGACTTTGCCCACTGTGCACAGTCGCCAGAGCACCACCACCGCCCGGCATCGTGTCACGGCGAGCTCCTTCTGCGCCCGCTCGCGAGGCTCTCGCGCTGGCACACTTTGGCCATCTGCTGCTCGCGTTCGGCGAGCTCTTCTCCGCACTCCTGCCACGGTGCCGTCACCACACACCTTCTGGCTGGCCTGAGCCGCGCGGGGTCGCCGGCGGGGGCAACGCGTCGACCTCTCTCTCTGGTGCACCACGGGCCGCAACGGCCTGCGAGCAGCGTGCGCGAGGAGGCATGATCACTTTGAGGATACAGCCACCAGAGCTCTGACAGCTGGGCAGAAGTGGCAGCACATTCCTGCGCAAGAGGGTGGGCTGACTTGCTGTGCCTGCTCCCAGGGCGAGCAGGTGGCAGGGCTGAATGAGCTCTTGTGCTGCAAAGACTGCCAAACCACAATGCACATGCACTGCTTAGCCCCTCCCCTGATGCAGCCTCCAGTGGCTGGCTGGAGATGCTCCACCTGCTCAGCAGCAAGAAAAAGGCAGAGGGAAGGGCACCCGTCGGACGAAATTTCTTTTTTCCAGATCACCCGGTAGTGGGATGCGCCGGGTAATCTGAAACCGTTTGGGATTCACGACTGCGTCATTCAAGCAAACGAGGCTGGGGATTCCGAGTGGGAGCTCTCCTTAGGACCAAGTGCCGCAGGTGCTCGCTCTCTGGACGAGGATCGAGGTGCACGCTCGCGTCCGGGTAAGCTGAAACGAGAAATTTGCGCGCCCGGGTAATCTCAAAGAGAAAAGTTAGCCGCCGGGTAATCTGGACGAGAAATTTGGCCGACCGCCGACCGGGTAATCTGACATGAGAAAAGTTAGCGGCCGGGTAAGCTGAAACGTGAATTGTGGGAGACTGGGTAAACTGGTTTCTCAGTTTTTTGATGAAATTGCTGCTGAGCAGGAAAATATCTGAAAATATCGTTGCCGGGTAATCTGGACGAGAAATTTGGCGCCGACCGGGTAATCTGACATGACAAATTTTAGCGACCGGGTAAGCTGAAACACGAATTGTGGGAGACTGGGTAAACTGGTTTGACGGAAATCGCGCTAAGCAGGAAAATATCGTTCGCCGGGTAATCTGCGAGGCGAATCTCAAAAACCGGGTAATCTGAAATTTATCCGTTGAAGAATGCACAATTACCACATCACGGCTGGTGTGGAGCTCGCAGAGCCCCCGCCCCACGCCCTCGTGGCGCCGCCCAGCCGCGCCCGCGCAGCACCGTCGCCGAGGGTCCTCGCCTCTCTGCCAGCTCAGCCGGCGCCGAGCCGCCTCCCTCGCGCTGGCGGGCCGCCGCGGCCGGCCGACGCCACGCTCGGCAGAGCCCTCTCGCCTCGGCCGCCTCCGCCGCCGAGTCACCCTCGCGCACGCCGCCCGCAAACCGCTCTCCGCCCTCCCCTCTCCGCCGTCCCCCCCGCCGCCCCGCCGCCGCCGCCGGCTCCGACTCTGCCGCCCGCCGACCCGAGCTGCGCATCGCACTGTCTGGTCCGCCGCCTCGAGGAGTTGTGCGGAAGAGTGGCGCCCTATCCCTCGCCACACGCCTCTCGCCCCGGGCGCAGGCCTCCCGCCCGCCGAGTCCCGCGACCTCAGCCTCGCCGCCGCGACTCGCCTCGGCGCCGCGCCGCTCTCGGGGGGGGGGGGGGGGCGGAGGGGAGGCCGCGCCGCGCGCCGAGGGGAGGTCGGCCCGAGGTTAGGCGCCGCCGTCGTGCAGGCGGAGGAGCTGGCGGGGCAGGGCGAGGCGGAGGCCGGCAGGCGCATCACGCACGCCGTCGTGGGTGGCGCGGCGGGGGGCGGGCCCCGAAGGACCCTCAAGGGGGGCCCGTCACCCGGGCACCCCGCCCGGGAAGTAAAGAAGGGGGGGGGGGGGGGTGGGCGG